AACTATAAAATAGAAGAAAATGAATCATGTTCAATCTTAATTGATTTTCAACATAAATTAGGGTTGATCAAATCTGATTTGTCTTAATCCTATTAGATTTGTCTAAATCTATTTAGAATGTCTTAAAAGTACCACGTGGCATTTTTCAATATGTCACTTGGCTTAACCTCATGCCTCACTACCCTCCTTTTAATATAACTATTACTAGTATTAGTACCCGCACGATGGGCGGACATAAACCATGTCAAATTATGATTTGGGTTATTTGGATATTGTGCAAATAACATTAAAATTAAACTCTCTATATAGAAATTATAAATAATTATTAGATATTAATTAAGAAGTAGGACATGAAACCATTTTTCAAATCTCATGTGGTTAGTAAATAATTGCTAAAATAGAAAACATCATTCCTGGCATTTGTTTTTGTTTTACGGTCAATATTAAAGAAAACTAAACATGTAACGTTGTGATGTGTCTAGTTTGAGCACATTGAATCATATTATTTTAACAAATTCTTACCACTACTCTATTTTTTATTCTTGAGGAGGCCCACAGTTTGCGTTATTTCATTCATTCGGGTGTTGCCAAGATGTATTAGGATTTAAGGCAACATTATTGTGGAGAAGAATAAAGAAGAATATAGTTGCATATGTGGCTCGGTGTTTGAACTGTCAGAGAATAAAGTATGAGCAGCAGAGGCCTGGCGGTTTGCTTCAGAAGCTTGAGATTCTCGAGTGGAAGTGGGAGCGTATTACTATGGATTTTGTTATTGGGCTCCCATAGACTTCAAAGAAATTCGACGCAATATGGGTCATTGTGGATAGGTTGACCAAGTCGGAACATTTCATTCCAGTAGAAGTTACCTATTCTTCAGAGCGGTTGGCTGAGATCTATATCCGCGAGATCGTTCGTCTTCACGCTGTGCCGGTGTCCATCATTTCTGCTCAGGGTACGCACTTCTGGAGAGACGTACAATATGAGTTAGGTACATGGGTTGAGTTGAGTACAACATTCACCCCCATACGGACGGATAGTCCGAGCGCACCATTCAGATATTGGAGGATATGCTTCGCGCCTGCATTATGGATTTTGAGGGTTCTTGGGATAAGTTTTCCACTTGCGAAGTTTGCCTACATTAATAACTACTAATAGAGTATTCAGATGGCTCCCTATGAGGTATTATATGGGACGTAGTGTCGTTCTCCAATTGGTTGGTTTGAGCTAGGAGAGGCTCGGTTTTTGGGTACCGATTTGGTTCAGGATGCCTTGGAAAAGGTCAAGATGATTCAGGATAGACTTCGCACAGCTCTGTCTAGGTAAAAGAGTTATGCTGATCGTAGAGTTCATGATGTTGCATTCATCGTTGGAGAGAGGGTTTTGCTCCGGGTTTCACCCATGAAAGGTGTGATGAGGTTCATAAAGAAGGGCGAGTTTAGCCCTAGGTATATCAGCCCTTTTGAGATTCTCGACAGAGTGGGTGATGTGGCCTACAAGCTTACATTGCCACCTAGCTTATCAGCAGTCCATCTGGTGTTCCACGTGTCCATGCTCCGGATGTATCATGGTGATCCGTCCCATGTTTTAGATTTCAGCTCAGTCCGATTGGATAAGGATTATACTTATGAAGAGGAGCCGGTGGCAATTCTAGCCCGGCAGGTCCGAAAGTTAATAGCTGTGAGTTATCCTTCAGTTAGAGTGCAATGGAGAGGTCAGCCAATCAAGGCAGCTACGTGGGACTTCGAGTCCGATATGTGGAGTAGATACCTATACCTTTTCACCAGTCCAGGTACTTTTCTATGTCAGTTTGAGGATGAACGTTTGTTTTAGAGGTGGAGAATGTGATGACTCTATAGGTCATTTTGATATTTGGCCTCTATTTATATGTTTTGAGACCTCGATTAGCTCTGTTTAGCATTTCTCTATTTGTGTGCACAGTCCGTGTCTTGTTCGGAAAAGTTTTTAGGCTTCTCATATATATTGAGGTGCTGCCTCAGTTGAGATATATTGATATATAGGAGATGCCTAAAACCCGTTTTTAACTCATTATTTTTCACTCTCTTCACACCCTAGACACCTAAAAACTCTCTCAAGGTTCTCTCATGATCCAAGACCCAAACAAAGGGTGAGCAACATAAGTCAAGTGTAGGGAATCCCATGGCGTTAGTGAGTTTCTTGTTCTTCTTGTTGTTGCTGATTTTTGTGTGGTTCTAGCTCACGTGGGAGGTTTTTATAAATGGTTTAAATTCTGTAAAATACTCTCTCATGTTTTTAATATCAACCCTAGGGGATGTCAAGTCTTCCAAAGTGATTCTAGTACCGAAAAACCTGAATTGATTGCTAGTTTTGCTTCCTTGTTCTTGTGGCTATGGAGCCACGAGATTTGCATAGCTTGAGGTTGGGCAGTATATACAAGGTATGTGAGGATATCCCTTTACTTCTTTGAACGACTCTGATAATACATAGTGTAACGAACAAGCTTCCAATGATACTCAACTCTTAGAAGCCAACAGTACCTACATTGTTTCCCTTCTTATGAAACGGTTGATGTTGATATTGCTTCTCTTATTCTTATATTATCGATATTTTTGGCATTTCCTGATTCATATATGATTCATGATGAATCAGTCCTAATAACGTGTATGGGGCTTACCGACCATACGTCACTCCAAAACGTTTAGAATATTATTCCCATGAGTCCAGCATGCATTATATATATGTACCTATTTTACTCTAACGAGACGCACTATAGTCGGCCGGGTATGGCACTTAATGTGCAACCACTGATCAGTTGGATTTTACCAAGCTCCACGGGTCATCCATGTCAAAGATGTACAAGTTACGTTCTTAATTTTACTTAAATTTTAGGTCTAATATTACAAAGCTTTTATCTCAATGTATTTAGAACTACAAGGTGATCAACCCACCAAATTGAAGATCTACGAGTCTAGTTTCCAACGCATTAAACCATTTGTCAATACAATGTCGGAGTAGAGAGATAATTGTATTTGTGTGATACTGCGCAAGCAACTCTCTATGGGACCCACATAGGCTGTTGAGATATATTGATATATATGAGAAGCCCAGGTCCCATTTTAACTCATTTGTTTCACTCTCTTCAGACCATAGACACCTAAACACTTTCTCTGAAGTTTCTCTCAGGATCCAAGACCCAAACAAAGGGCAAGCAACACAAATCAAGTGTCGGGAATCCCGTGGCGCTAGTGAGTTTCTTGTTCTTCCCGTTGTTGCTGATTTTTGTGTGGTTCCAGCTCGTGTGGGAGGTTTTTTTTAAATGGTTTAAATTCTGTAAAATCCTCTCTCAAGTTTATAATATCAACCCTAGGTGATTTCAAGTCTTCCAAAGTGATTATAGTGCCGAAAAACCCGAATTGATTGCTAGTTTCACTTCCTTGTTCTTGTGGATGCATTGGAAGGATATTTCGTGGTGAAGTAACGTCAAATTGGAGTTTTTCTATCTTTTTAAAGGTACGAAACCTCGTACTCTACATGTAGTTAAGTTTATCCAAGTTGGGCTAATTCGTTGAAGCTAGAACTTGTGAGTTATCAATCGAAATGCTTGTTTGTAATGTTGTTGATTGATGGATTGTTTTGGGAGGCTTAATGTGATTATTATTGATGTTTTTTGGGATGTTTGGCGATTGTTTTAACTTGTGTGAAGTCATATAAATTGGGGAGGTGTTGTCCATTTCATCGTAAGATAGGTTGCGGTTGATATACACTAGTTACGACGCTTAAACGATAACAATAGTATCATTTCTCTTATTGTAGAATAAGGAGCCGTGAGATTTGCATAGCTTGAAGTTGGGAAGTATATACAAGGTATGTGAATCTCTCCCTTTCCTTCTTTTGCATGACTCCGATAGTACATAATGTAATGAATGAGCTTCCAAAGATACTCCACTCATATAACATAGCAGTACTTATATTGTTTCCCTTCTTATGGAACGATTGATGTTCATGGTGCTTCTCTTATTATTATATTGTCAATGTTGTTGGTATTTCCTGATTCTTATAAGATTCATGATGAAGATTTAGTCCTAATAACGTGTACGGGGGTTACCAACCTTACGTCACTTTGAATGGTTCAAAATGTGATATTCATGAGTCTAGTATGCATTATATATATGTGCCTATTTTACTCTATCGAGCCGCGCTATAGTTAGCTGGGTAAGACAACTATTGTGCAACCACTAATCAGTTGGGTTTAATCGAGATCCATGCAGACAGGTATGATTCTACCGAAGCTTATGATGGCCGGGTATATTTTTACCGAGCCTATTACGGCCAGGTACGATATGATGATGATGATGCCCATAGAGGCATATGTTTTAAAAAGTATATTCATATATATATTCTTTATCCCTGTTTACATCACTGCTCTTATTTATGCTTTCCCGCCTTACATACTCAGTACTTTATTCGTACTGACGTCCCTTTTATATGTGGACGTTGCATGTCGTGCTGCATGTCTTGATAGACAGGTAGACGAAGATCTCCCACCATAGTAGGCTGCCCAGATCAGTGATTATTGGCGAGATCCCTTCTCCGGACTTGCCGTGGTCTTGGTATGCATTTTTGTTATAGATATTATGGGTATGTCGGGGACCTGTTCCGACAATGTCGCAGTACTTACATTCCTTTAGAGGCTCATAGACATGCGTCATCTCATGTATAGTTTGGATAGCCTTGTCGGTTGATTTTTGTTGTATAGTCTTTCATGACAGTCTTGTCGGACCATGTTATATATGTTCATGCCATTATCTGTCATTATTCGTTGTTTATGATTCATGTCTACCATTTATGTTGATCTCGTCGGCCCTTATAGATAATAAGAAAGGCTAGATAAAATGTACGTTGGTGCTCGGCATGTATGGCCCAGGTGCCAGTCATGGCCCTCCAGTTTGGGTCATGAAAAATAAGGATCTGAAGCCTAATCCTTCTTCCTCCTTAGGGAGACAAAGCTTCCTCCATGAGGACTAATGTCTACTCCTCCCTGCTTCCTTATTGCTCCAGAAGAACCTTGAAAATAACTTATGTAAATGTTCCAATATGTTTTTGGGAGGATCCAGAATTGAGAGTAGGTGCACTGCCATGCTTTTCGGCACACTACAGATCAGTGTAGCCTTGCCTCCATAATATAACAACTTTTCTTTCCATGAGTGCAGCTTGGCCTTTGTCTTCTTTATAAGATCATCATAGTAGTCTTTCCTTTTGCTAGTATAGAATATTGTACACCCTAGGTATATGAAAGGGAATGCACCCTTAGCAAAGCCAGTAATATCACCAACTATTAGAACCAAAGTAGTTGCTACATTAGAGTGCATATAATAGGAGCTCTTAGGCTTATTAATCAGCTGGCCTGAGATCTTCTCATAATCACACAACACTGCCATGATCTTCTCCAATGAATCTGGATGGGCTGAGGCAAAGATTATTGTATCATCATCATATGCAAGATGGTTCAATGGATTAGTCCACTGTGGCATTCCAAACCCCTAAAAGATTTTTCATCAAATAGTTTGTTCAATGATCTAGACAATACTTCTGCTGACAGTATAAATAATGCAAGAGATAATGGATCTCCTTGTTTCGCCCACCTTATAGACAGAAAGAAGCTTGAAGATTGGCCATTCACCAAGATTGAGTACCAGTTATTTGACAACAAGTTCTATATCATGATGATAAAATGATCAGCAAATCCCATCTTCCTTAACACATGAAGCAAGTACTTCCAAGATACCCTATCATATTCTTTAGCCATGTCCAATTTAATCACTACATTGGTAGGCTTGCACCTTAACCTGATGTTAGTAACAATCTCCTGAGTGAGGAGTATGTTTTCAAAAAATACTTCTTCCCTTCACAAAGCCTGACTGGTTGGAGGATATCAAAGAAGGAAAGATATTTTCCAGTTATCATGCAGGACTCTAGACATCACCTTGTTGATGAAATTGCCGCCGGCTCCCCACTAAGTTCAAACACAACAAACTCGACTTCTTCAAGAGTAGGATACTTACATAATTCAAGATTCTGCTCCATAGTCACCATACCAGGAACATTTTCTAGTAGAGTGAAGACAGTAGGATCAACCTCTTTAGTGAATTACCTCTAGTAGAATTCCACAGCAGTAGCCAAATCATCTTGACATTCCACCCAATCTCCATCCCTTTTTTTATATTCTTTTCAATTGCAACTTCTGTCTCTTGCCATTAACATGATTCTGGAAGAAGCTTTATTCCTATCTCCATTAGTAAACCATGTCATCCCAGCATTCTGCTTCCAGTATTACTCCTCAATGCTTAAGTACCTTTTCAGTTCAGCTTGTGCATTTTGAAGCACTATTCTATTCTCCGTTGTAGGTTCTTCTTCAAAAAGCATCTCCTTCACCTTCACAATGTATTCCCTAATATCAAGTTCTTTGAATATGTCTCTATATGTCTCCTTGCTCCATTCAGATAGAGCAATCTTTACCCTGTTTAGTTTTTTCTTGAACATGAGATATGGATCTCCAATAAAGTCATCAATACAATCCTACCTAACCACCTCCTTAAATGTTTCATGTTAGTCTAGATGTTCAGGAACCTAAAAGGCTTGATGAAGTTAGTAGCTTATTCCCCGCAACTCATAAATAGAGGAGTATGCTCTGAGCCAGACCTGATGAGGTGTTCAACATCAATAGTAGGGAATAGATTCTGGAATGGTATGTTCACAAAAACTCTATCCAGCATCTTAAAGATACACTCAACATTTGGTCTCCCATTCCAGCAGGTGAATGGACTTCCTTTGTAGCCTAAATCAAACAACCCACAGTAATTCACACAAAAATCAAAGTGTTCATATTCAGAAGGATGAACTGAAAGTCCCCCAATCTTCTCATCTTCATGTAGCACAATATTGAAATCACCACCAACCACCCAAGGTAAATCCATATCACTTGCAAGGTAATAAGGAATATCCCACATTTCCAGCCTCTCAAGTAAAGAACATTTAGCATATACAAATGTACACGTGATGTATTGGCCAATATCCCGATGATACAGTTTGATAGTAACCTGCTGTTCATTTTCTACCACTAATTCCCACACTACAACAACATCAAAGAAAAGCCAGATCATCCCATTAATGTTAGACATAACAGCAGCCATATTAAGTCTTCTTCTGTATCTTTGAATATGTCTTGAGTTCTAAAAATGTTCCATCAAAGCAACCACAGAGAATCTATGTTCCTTGTGCATGTTGATCACTATTTGAAAGGCCTGTTGAGTTTTAATAGACCTTATGTTCCATATCAAGGCCTTGATCATCATTTTGTAACCGAGACTGCCCTCTTGGGCATAATTCTTGTAGGTTGAGGTACTTCTTTAACTTGACCCTGTTTTTTGCCCTACTTACCACTTCTGCCAGCAACTCTTGGAGATAAGTCTGCATCTCTAGCAACTGCCTTGAAATTGCCTGCATTAGATTCATCTTCTCCCTCTTCCTCAATCTTACCTTGTTCTGCCACTACTTTTTGCAGATCCATAAGTACCACATTGTGAGTGATAATTTCATGCAATATTCGGTTAAGTGACTTCAATGGGACATTGGTTTGAATCTGCATGGGCTACCCAATTCCTAATGCACATGCCACTGGTAATGCCTCAATTACATCTGAGGCCTTATGAACAATGGCCTGCTCCTGTGACACCCTAGTCGCCTCCTTCAACCCATGTTTATGATGTTCAATTACCCCTAAAGCCTCTTGCATTATCTTGAATTGCAATTCATAGATTGAACCCAAATTAGGGTTTACTATAGCAGTAGTCACTGGAATTACTATTCCATTGGATTCCTTAGGGTTGCTATCAACTGTTTCGGTGTTTGACCTCACTGTATCATCCAAAACCATTGTAGGATCCTTGTTAAAATCTTCTACACCCTTACCATCCATCACATAAGCTGCACCTGAAGAGAAACCCTTGGTAGTGTTGCTAGGGTTTACTGTTCCATTGCCTTTCTCCTTCCATGTAGCTTCTTCACCTACACCCTTATTGATTCTAGCTTCTACAAATGATTATGCACCTACTCCAATTGATTCTGTTGTGTTCCGCATTATGGTTTAATCAAGAGCTTCAACCCTAGTTTCATGCATGCAAGGATTTACTGTAGTTTGTGAATCTACTATGCCAGACTGCTTTGCATGATCATTGTTGTGAGCATTCTTATATGCAACAACATTGTTTAACTCAATCTCTTCAACTTCGTCACCCCATGATGTGCCTCTATTTCTTGTATTATCAGTTATTCCAATTCTCCTTGAGCTGGCATCAATAGCTTGTGGAGGTACCTCCTAACAAGGTTGATATATAGTGATATTCAAATATTCATTACTCGTTCCAAACCTTCTACCAACCCAGTCAACAGTTATCTCCTTATTTTTATTTTCCCCAATCCCATTAACAGTAGGATTAGGTCTTGCCTCCTTATCCGCAACTAACACCATAGCATTGCTATTTTCCTCCTCTCCAACTAACACATCAAATGAATTCTTTGTTGCAATCTTTTGATCCTTGCCTTTGCCTTCGACATTAACCACATGTTTCCCATCTGCCTTTTCTATAATATGACCTCTCGTGTCACTTTGATACTTTTTTTCCTTCTTTGAATACATTATTGTGTTGGAGTAGGATTTATAGGTTTCCGTACAACCTTCCCACTAGTCAATACTTTGGTACTAGCTGTAGCAGTTCAAATCAATTCCTTTCCATTGTTTTCATCCATCCCTGCCTCTTCCACCTGCCTGAGCTCTGGATTAGCTACCCATCACTCACTTTCCTTGTGACCTTGCTTTTTGCGATTCTTACAGTACTTAGGCATATAATCATACCTAATTTTGATCCACATAGATTCTTCAAGCCCGGTTTCATCCTCCTCATCCACAATCTTGGTTCGTTGAGGGAAGTTTGATAGCAAATTCACCTCCACCTTCACCTTGGCACAAATTGGCCGTGTACCATTTTTTGTGGCTAAGTCAACATGTAATGTCTTTCCTACACCAGTTGCCAATGAAAACACAAAATCATTTCCAAAGAAATTAGGAGGCAAGTCTTGAAAAGAGATCCAAGCAATAGCAACAGGAGTTTCTTCATTAGGTTTCCACCAAGGATTCCACTGTGTACACTCCATCTGCCACATCTCCCCTTGTATTTTTAAATAATTAGTGAGCTTGGACAATAAATGGATATAATCCTCCATTAATGAGAGTTTAATAAGGATATGACAGTCTTTAATTAATCCAATTGAACAAGGACCCCTTAACTCACACTGTATAGGGACATTCTTACGTAACTCTTGAATCGCAGGCTTACTATATGAAAATTTGCCCAGTACTACAAAGGGTAATCCCAGTTGTGCAATGGATTGAAGCACCTCCTGCTTCTTCCAATGCACTATTGGTTCACCATAAAGATATTTGATAGGTTTTAGGGTTACGTGGGGCAGTGGCTGCATCGCACATTTAAGGCTATAGGTTGAAGTAGTTTTGCGTAATTATGGGTAGGATTAGGATTTGTATTAGTTATTATGGGTTGTGGGGATGGTGTAGACGACAGACCAACCCAAGTGGGCGGGTGGCCAGTGGCCGGAGAAGCCATCGAAGGCCTGCGCGAGCTTCATTTTTCTTCTCACGTCGCCTGTCGCCTTTATACAGTAATAAATAATTTTGAAAGTTGTAAGTTAGTCATTATATCTATTAGGAGATACATGGCTTTTATTTCTGACGAGCTCAAAGCACACACTTAAATATGCTCGCTAGTCGAATATAGTATAATATAATATCGTATCCACTAGGATTGAGGTTAAATAGTATTATCGTAGTTTGTAGATAGATTGCTATCAAAGATGATCAACAATTGGGATTTATATGATTAATAACTAAAATTAACTAAGAATTTAAAGCTATTGACGAATGACTATCGCAACGAAGGAAAGCAAAGAAGTTATCAGTGGGAGAAAATAGGGGTTGATTGGATAGGTTCAAGACAATTATTTTGGGTCTAACTCTAGATAATTCACTTCTAATGTTTAAGTGAGTCTCTTGAATTCACTCAATTATTAGTTCAAACGTTTACTAGAAACTCCTCTCTTGATTAAGTCTCAACCTCACGAGATGAACCAATATAAGTACGTGAAGATATAAAAGAATGCGTAGTGGATTGGTCTTTAGGAAAACCTCTTTTGATTATTCTCCTAACTAGGTTTAATCAATAATTCAACTAGTCTCTTTTGATTACTAAGAAGAATTAATGAACTCAACCAACAATATAATGCAAAGATATCACAAGTTATGCGTCTCTCGATTACATGAACAAGTGAATATAGATGCAACAATTAAATTATTCAAAAATGCTTCAATGCATAAAACTAGAGTTATAATCCACAAACAAATATCAATACACCAAATATATCAAAAACTAAAGAGAAATACTCCATAGATATGGAGTAATTCATCACAAATATGTTTAAATTAAAGGAAAACATAAAACGATCCAAACTCGGGTCTTGAGTGAGGATTGAATGATGAAATCCTTGTGCTTTTGCTTCTCCCACTCCTCCTTAGGTCTCAAATATCTCAAAAGTCCAATAAATAACATTTTTCCATGTATTTATACCAAGTAGGATCGAGCCCAAATGAAATCACCTTTTCCTACGCGTAATAGGACAATTAGTATGTAAAATTTGCATAGGCATGCCGCATGGGGTGACGCGCCATGCAGGGCATTAGTGGGGAAATCCAGAGAGCTAGTTCTAATAGGCAGCAGGAAATTTGTTCAAGCGCGGCGCGCCGCAGCTGTGGAGGTTTCTCAGAGTACGAATTTTTCCTTGCTTTTTGGCATCCAGACTTGGTCCTCGACCCCCGAACACGATCTCGGCTTGATCCTTTGGTCTTCTACTAAGACTTCAAGGCTCCAAATCACTCGAATTTATCCCATAACATCTACATCACTCGGAATCACTTCTACAAGGCATAAAACACACATTTAGTGCAAAACACTAGCGACTAAAATACGAGATTATAGCCTACCATCAACACCCCACACTTAAACCATTGCTTGTCCTCGAGAAATCAAACTACACTTCACATAGACACGACCTTTTTCAACAACTCTCGTAACTCATCGCACCA